AGGGAACCACTGAACCAAACTGTCATGTCTTCAAATAATGGAAATCCCTTCAAGTCAGAGGATGCTGCAGCATCTCCTGCATCTGTAATTTTAGCATTTATGGACAGGTCTAGAAAACATGATCTGTGAGGTCCAATTGAAAATATCTGGTTTGTTTAGTTTATCATAGAATCATAGAATAATAGGACTGGAAGGGACCTCGAGAGGTCATCGAGTCCAGCCCCCCGCCCTCAAGGCAGGATCAAGCTCCGTCTACACCATCCCTGACAGATGTCTATCTAACCTGTTCTTAAATATCTCCAGAGAGGGAGATTCCACCACCTCCCTTGGCAATTTATTCCAATATTTGACCACCCTGACAGTTAGGAATTTTTTCCTAATGTCCAATCTAAACCTCCCCTGCTGACAAAGAGAAGACTGAAGGAGGAGATGATTACAATTTTCAAGTATATAAAAAAAAGGTTGTTACAAGGAGAGAGGAAAAAATGTGCCCCTTCGCCTCTAAGGATAGGACAAGAAGCAGTGGGCCTAAATTGCAGCAAGGTCAGTTGAGGTTGGACATTAGGGAAAACTCCCTAAATGTCAGGGGTACACGAGCACTGGAATCAATTGCAAAGGGAGATTGTGGGATCTCTGTCATTGGAAATTTTTAATAACAGATTAGACAAACATTTGTCAGAGATGGTCTACATCGGGGCGGGCAAAATACATCTTGTGGGCCGCATCCATATCACCAAGCTGCTGGATCCAGCCCATGGCCTACCAGGTCACTGCACCTTCCGCATCCCACTTGCTGCTCAAACAGCTGGTTGTAGGGACCATTTTTTCTCTGCATGCTGGGGGGACGGGGGACTCTGCATGCTATCCCTGCCCCAGCACAATCTCACAGCTGCCATTAGCTATCTGAATTGTACTTTGCAGCGCAGGCAGTGTGCAAAGTACCTTTCCCAGGGCATGGGCAGTGTGCAGAGAACACATGGCCCATGCACCTGGCTGCTCTGAGCAGCATGTGGGGGTGTGGAAGGCAAGGAGCCTGCCTGAGCATCCTGCTGGCTGGGAGCTGCCTAGGTAAGCGTCTTCAGGCCAGGGCCTACCTCTGGCACCCAAGTCCTTCCCTCTCCCCAACCTTCTGCTTTCCTTCCTGCACCCTTGCCCCAATCACAACCTAAACCCTCTGCTTCCCCACTCCTGCACTCCTCCCAGACCCTGCATCCAACCCCTGTACCGCCTCCTGCAGTTTTGCCCCAGGTTGCAAACCCTTCCCAGACCCTGCACCCCCTTCTACACTGCTCCTCTAAGTCAGAATCCTCTCTTACATCCATACCCATACCCCCCCTCCTAGACCCTGCATCTCCTTCTATATCACAATCCCATGCCCCAGGTCACAACTTTCTTCTTTACTCGTACTCTCTCCCAGCTCTCATGATTAAAACTCCTTTTATGGTGTATATTGCATTATATTTGTAATATTTTGTGCACATATTAACTGATTATTTATTTAATAGTAGCAGTGTGTTTAGCTGACTATGAAAGCAGAGTCAATAACTGATTTGTTTTTTTTTTAATTCATTGGCTATTCACTGGAAAATATGAGTTGATATCAAACTGAAATTAATAAATGCGTAATATTTTGGTGAACTGAAAAAAAGTGTGTCTAATTAAACAAAATGTTTTGTTTAGCATTTTTCTAGAACTTTTTAAAGGTCTAGAGATGCAAAATGGGAGGTAGAAGGCAAGGTGGTTATGATGCCCACATCTCTTATAACATTTAGCCTAGTGATTTAGGTACTCACTGAGAATGTAGGAGAACTAGGTTCAAATTCTCTGTGTGAGGTGGAGCAGGGTCTCCGATCTCCCACGACAACATCCTCACCAGTGAAGTATGAAGTATTCTGGGCCAAGTCTTTTTCAGTCTCTCTTGTTTAAGCTGTTCTTCTGTATAAAATACTGCAATATATAGCGAGTAAGAATGCATGTGATTGCATGGGCTGGTGACCAGGGCTTTCACTTTGGAGGTGAGACACCCATGTTCAAGTCCCTCCTGCTTTAATGACTATTCTGAATGCATGTCCTCACTACTGAATTAAAACAACAACAACAAGGGAGGTGACATCCCAACCAATCCCATCCCCTCAGTTCATTTTTGTGTCTGGTGCCAAAGTCCTAAGGTGACTGTACTCTGAAACATTTGGAACTGTGATGGGACAAAATTTGTGTCAAATACGTGAATAGTTTTGCGTAGGCTAGAACTGATACTTTTTTTCGGTGAATAAATTGTCTGAACAATGTTTTCCAATTCTATTGAAAGGTTGATTTTAAGTAATTTACCATATCATATCATCACTTTGCCTGAGCTCTTCTGACTCAGGAAATAGGAAACTCAATGATTGTTCGGTGTCCTAAATGACCAATACTAGAGCAAAGCCATGAGACTGACTTTGCTTTAATGTATTCTTTACATCATTGGGTAGACAATTAGCTTTATTCTGTAATGGAAATTATAGGGAAAATAGTTTGGAGCTTTGTTCGGCTCTGAATAGTGACCTACAGAAAAAGTGTGCATAGTATGCATTTACTCAGTATTTTGTGCAGTTAACAATTTAATAATTATCAACCAAATAATGCAATGACGTAAAATTTGGTGTGGTTTTTAAATGTGTAACATGAAGATAAGCATAGTCTGAAATCACAAAAATAGCTTGCATATTTTATAGAGTGGTAACTTCAGGATATACTAACAGTATGCAAGCTTCTTATCTAGTAAGCATCTTTCAAAACAGCATGTGAAAATGATTTTTTAAATAATTCGTAATTGTTACAATAGTTTGCATTTTAATTATAGGACGTACTTTTAAATACATTTTAAAAAATTACAGCTAAGAATTGAAAAGCTCAAACATAACAGGTGAGACAATTTCCTGTAATATCCTTGAAAAACCTTATTGAATTAAGTTTCTTTGTAGACTGTTGTATTCAATGCAGGAGCTGTGTATTATTGAGTTCTGAGCTTGTATGTAACCTCTCTATGGTGGAGATATGGTGAGAATGCTTGAATGTGTCAGGACTTCAAAGGACTATTTTGAACAATATTGCAAACAAGAATGGATTTTTGGGAGAAACAGTGTCAGGTGGTTTGCTTGGAGAGCATCTAGGGGAAGATGAAAGCAATGTTCCCATCTATGGCTATTAAACCCCCCCCAACAATCTTTGAAAGCTACTCCCTAAGGAGAGTAGGGATGTCAGCGACTGTTGACTAGGTGACTATATGATGAGCAGAAGCTTATTGGATCATTGACTAATCCCTCGACTAGTCATTTCTCCCCCAGCTCGGGAGGGGGGGCAGATGAGGCAGAGGGATAGCGGGGACCGGGCATGAGCTGGGAATTGGCTGATTCCCGGCTCACGCCCAGTCCCACGTGCTCTACCTCTGCTTTTTAAATGTATTAAGAGCCTCCTGGGAGGGGACCCAGCACGAGCCTTTTACATGTATTAAGGGGATGCCAGCTCTTAATACA